GTATGATGTTGCAATGTTATATAGGTTTCGTGACTAAAATTCTAGTACTAGTATGATGTTGCAATGTTATATAGGTTTCGTGACTAAAATTCTAGTACTAGTATGATGTTGCAATGTTATATAGGTTTCGTGACTAAAATTCTGCTCGCGAAGTTTTATTTCCAATTTAATATTTTCTATTTTCAACTATTGTTACATAAACTTTTATTTATTTATTTAGTTATACACTAGTGGAGTTTAGCGCTGACTAGACCAAGATTCTCCTCCCTTCAGTTGTGGAGTCCCATCGCAGTACGTTTGTCAGTTCGCAGTCCAGGTAGCGTTTTTTACGCAAAAGTTTCTCTTATCACCTTTTGCTCGAGTGCTACGATACCTCAGAATAAACGGGAGAGAAAAATTAAATTTTGTTTATTACTGTTGTTTTTTTAGTTTATTTAGTGCAAAGCTACACAATGGGCCACCTGCACTCTGCCCACCGCAGGAAATCGAACCCCAAATTGCATTTGTCTTTTAACACCTTCCTTTAGAGATATTTTCAAAATGTATTAAGTAGTGCTGAAAATTATGTATCGTGTACAGAAAATAAGTTTGTCATTTGTTTATTTTTTGAAAAGGCACTTTATACACCCACAAAATGACTAACAACAATCAGCATATAAACAACGGAAAAGAGAAGTTTAGGTCTCTGATGTTGGTCATAAAGGTTATATAAATCTAACAATTTCTCCATTATATAATATATGACTCAGAGTTTTATAACATACACAATAATATCATGAGTTTTTTAACATGATTTAAGCAAAATCAGTAAGAAGTGCATCAATACACTCATACTAATGACGTAAAACTGATATAGGTAATATAAAATGATTCGCGGAAATGACAGATCATATTTTGTTTAGTTTTGTAGCATTTGTCTGTAACATCAATATGACAAATAACGATTACCTACCGTTGGATTAAAAGATTAGCTATGTTCGGGCATATCAGGTCAAACACGAATACTTCTGGAATGACTTGAACTAAATTACTCTGCATTGACAAGGATACAATTCTTAGACAAGTTCAGACCACCAATCGTTTTTCGGAGAAATAATGTAAAATTTGTTTTTGTGTCAGTTAGACTAGTACAGTAAAATAAAAATCCAAAATCAATTCTTCACTCGTCCTGGGTATGTTATACATCGAAACAAATGTCTGTGCTATTTCCATGCGTAACCAAAATAACTATTTTGTTTTAAGAAAAAAACTTTTCACCTTGTATATACATATGAATCTATTTAATTATCTCCGAAGAAGGCAGAAAAAATGGGCTAAAAGTATGTTCGTTTTTAAACTAAAGGTTCTGAGCTAGGTTACTTATGAGTTTATCAATAGCTATTTACTGATATGTCTCCAATGAACTGTTCAAATGTAGCTTTGATTAATTTATAAGGCAAGTAAATTGACTGATAATTATTTTATTGTTATAATGCAAACACAAGTAACACTATAAATAACATGGTAAACAAATATATTTGTATTTCAAATTATAATTTCATAAAAAAATAATGTAGTTAAGATAGTAAACCAAAATGCGCGTTTCAAGTTATAAAATTTTAAACAATTAAAAAGGCGTAATTATATAATAAATACAAACATGTATTTAAGTTTGTTTGTTTTAGAGCAAAGCCACATCGAGCTATGTGGTGGGTCAACCGTGGGGAATCGATCCCCTAATTGTAGCATTGTAAGTCCGTAAACTTAGCGAAGGTGCACTTTAAATAGTAATTAAAACAATATAACTAAATAGTAAAATATGTATTTCAAATTATAATAAATTTTAAGGATGTAGAATATTTTAGTTAGCATGGTCAAAAATACGTATTTCAAATTATTAGTTTTAGACCAGTAAAACGATGAGTCGATATTAATAGTAAACAAAATTGTAAACATGAATATAAATAACAAGATAATGTATCCATTAGATTACAAATATAAAAAAAAATACTTTATAGTTTTATTTTTATATGTTCCCCGAGATTAAAAATAGATCATTCTGGTTTTTGTAGGAGAGAATTAATCACTTTGCGGATGTTATTTTTTATTTTTTGGAAATAAACTTGTTTATATACATTAAACTATGATATCATTAGAAGCATTTGGAACAGAGTAAGCACACCGATTTTGTTTCTTTCTTTGTTGTTAAGCACAAAGTTACACAATGGGCTATCTAAGTTATGCCCACTTTATTATATAGATAATTTCTCAAACTTAAGTGTTCTTTGCTTAATTTCTAATTATTGCCCATTACCAGATTGATGTCTGTCGTTATTTGGTTTTGTTTTAAATGTTGATAATGTTAATATAATGCAAAATATTTTAATATTTCTGCTTCAGTAAATTTCAGGATTGATTTCTGATTTTTGAAAGCAACTGTGATATGTTGTTCCACAACTCAAACAAAAATCTCAAATTGTGTTTTTATAAAATAACTTAATTATTTCAATTAGCATTAGAAAACGATGTGAATGTGAACCTGCCATTTCCAGCACGATTGTTAGATAATTCAACTGCTAAAATATCTAACAAACCAGCTAGAAAACGGAATAAATGTGATATAAAAACAATAAAATATTTAGCATAAAACACAATGTTTTAGCTGAAAAAAACGGTATTAACGACGTTAAATCTTAAAAATAAGCGACATAAATTGGAGTGTTGTTGTTTTTGAAGTTAAACACAAAACTTCACAATGGGCTATCTGTGCTCTGCCCATCACGGGCATCGAAACTTGGATTCTAGCGGTGTAAGTTCGCAGACATACCGCTGTGCTACTGGGGGAGGGGGGGGCAAATAGGAGTGTACGCGCACTTCTATTTTATTCGTTAAAGCAGTGTGACTGGGTCGATTGTCCAAGTAAGTACGTGGAGAATAATTGTGCCTGCATTCAGACCAAGTTAGTGTCGTCAACACGCACGCTGATTTCAAGCTAGTAAAGACCCAATACTGATTTTTCGAAAAAATAAAATCAAACGCTTGGTTAGATGGAACTGAAAACTGACTTATTCGACGTTGGTGTATGTATACGGTACTAAATAGTTGCGGCTATTAGTTATAATTTATTTACAAAAGTTAAGAGTCAGATTTTTAAATTTACCTTGCTAGAACCGTGTTCTTTGTTAACACATTAGCACAGAACACTTCCATGCTATTTACTCGAAGTTGAAACTCATACCAACGTTCGTCTGTTTCGGATACTCACAAAAATGGGACACGAAAGTCAACACAGAAAACTCCAACAAACTAATAACACTACATTGTTCATTAACGGTACCTGCATGGAATAGCTTTAATATCAACTTTAAACGTAGTGGTTAAGCCTTACAGAACTGTATTGTAGTGAACTGAAATTTGAAGTATCCAAATATGAAACCAGGCGAATTGCCAAGAAATTGGGCAGGACTTGTTACAATCATTATTATCATATCCACGATAGTGGGTAATTCTCTAGTATGTGTAGCTATTTCCAAAGAAAGGCGCCTTCAGAATATGACCAATTATTTTCTTATGTCTCTAGCCGTTACTGACCTCATGGTGGCTCTGTTGGTTATGCCGATCGCTACTGTCATTCTAATGGAAGGTACGTACACTATCTAACCTTACAGTTACAGTTGATAAATAGAACGAATTGTAAGTTGTTCTTATAGCGTGATTAAAATGAAAGTTGGGTACGCTGCTTGAACTTCAAGTATGATTGTGTACTATTTTAACTAAGTTAAGATTATCTTCCATGTTTAGTGAGAGGAATTTCTTGTACGTATTTTATTATAGCAGTTCCTTTTAATGAAATATATAATGTAGACTGTTTATATTAGTTGTCGTAAATGCTAAACTAAATAGTTTTTCGATAGATTAATGTGGTATTCTGGTGAAAACAATGACGTTGACTGCTTTACGTTAGCTGAGAGAATATTTTGTTTATTATATAGTGATATTCTAGTGAAAACAATGACGTTGACTGCTTTAAGTTAACTGAGAGAATAGTTTGTTCATTATATAGTGGTATTCTAGTGAAAACAATGAGATTGACTGCTTTAAGCTAGCTGAGAGAATACTTTGTTCATTATATAGTGGTATTCTAGTGAAAACAATGAGATTGACTGCTTTAAGCTAGCTGAGAGAATACTTTGTTCATTATATAGT